TAGACTACGAGTAGTCCCTCTTTCGCTTAGTCCGTCGTGCGTGACGCAAAAGAAAACTGCGAGAAAAAAATGGCCGCGCGAAATCCTGGAGCTCCTTTCGCGCACTCCTAGCCAACAGGATTTCGCGCGGCCATTTTTTTCTCGCGAATTTCTTTCGCGTCACGCACGACGGACTAAGCGAAAGAGGGACTACTCGTAGTCTAAAACACCGCTGTCACATAGCTCTCAGCGCTTAATTCCGGTTTCTGAAACATGAAGCAGCTAGGCGTCTTCCTACCCCCTCCCCCCTCCCCCCTCCCTTCCCCTTGATAGGATACTAGTCCAATCTAGAGGAACTGTAGCTTAACAAATTCACGTCAGTTTTTCATGCGTCTGTCCTGTTATTGATCAGGAACTTCGTCATAACATAGTCAAAGTAGCTGTAGAACCACGAGGCGATAGCCGAGTGGATCCGCAGACTACTTTGACAATGTTTTGACGAAATTCATTGTCAATAACAAGAAAGACGCATTAAAAGCTGACATCAATTTGTTTTCCACGACAACAAATTGTCACATTGTCCGCTCTCAGTCGTCGATGCATCGCATAAATTATAAATTCACGCGTCTGTCCGCTTACTGACAATAAAAATTAGCCAATGAGCGCGCGAGAATTTCTGCAGTTATCGTAAAACCCCATGGGCAAAAAACAATGACCTTGGCCCGGACCGCTCGATGCCGACTCCACTGTGCTTACCGTTTGGCTATCGCGCCTCCAAAAACAAACTGGGAGGATATCTTTCAGCGTTCTGACAAGTGTAAAGTTCACATTTCGCATCAAAAATAATGACCATGGCAAGAGTGTACGTAGAATCTTCCTGATCGCTGCTGAGCAAATACTTTGTTCACGAAAGTGGAAATCAACGAAAGCGCACAAAGAAGTAAAGCAAATAAAAATGAATTTAAGAAGGCCACTTCCATCCAACCGCCTATTCAGTCCGTTCCTCTGTCCCCAGCGTGAAAGTCCAGCACCTCTTCTAGACCTGTATTTTCATTGGTCCTGTTAACCTGTGGCTTCTATTGTTTCAAGATATAGGAGCATTGTTTGGATCGTTTATGTATTGTTTCGTGAGCCAATAACAAACCGTGTTTGGACAGCTACTGGCCTGCCTTACAAACAGCTTCAACTCTCAAAAGGTAAACTTACCAACGGAAAAACAAAAGGATCTTTGAATCCTAGAACAGACGCCACAGTCAACACAGGGTCCAAACACGAGAAGATTGCACCAAATAAAATCATCTTGCCCACGCGTGGGTCGACGGGTAATGTTGCCAGGTGATGTCCGAGCGGTGTCAGCTCTTCATCCGCGTCAAGTGCGTTCTACGCCAAACAAGACGGATCGACATTGAATTTCTCACTACCACATCGACTCATTTCACAAGTAAACAAATGATGAGAATTAAGAAAATCGTCAATGAATTCAAGATTTTTTCTTTAAATCTACAAAGGATGTCCGTGATTTT